ACTTTCTTGCATTTCAACTCTCTGTATGTGAAAACCCAAATAACTAATCAAGATTTCCCTTCTCCCATTTATTGGAATTATGGACAGGGAAACATTCAGAATCATTAATATAAATTATCAAATAGCGTGACAACAATACACTTTGAATAATGTGTGCTAAATCTCAGTGGAGATTCTCATTCAAAGCTGAGATATTGCTAGATTAAAGTAGTTTCCTTTTGAAAACAAATATAATTTTCAACCAGTTTTAGTCTCCATGTACAGATTCAGTGAACTTTAGCTCATGAGGTTCATTTAGTAGATGCCACTGAATTCCCTTCACTTTCCTGAGGACATTGTATTCACAGGTCTTAGTCTGTCCTGTTTACCTTTGGAATTGGTTTAATTACCTGTTTTATGCTGCCTAGCATGAACCAGATTTTCAGTGCTAAGCTAATATAGTTTTATGGATGCTGAAGGTATGCTTGGTAAGGTCTCTTAGGTGTCAAGGCTATAATAACAAAATAAAAAATGTCATAATCAAATCCCCAGAAAACAGGGACCGATAATATAGTGCTTTATATCTGTGAACTCTTCTGCCAGACGACCTAATTTTAAAGCAATATGAAAGATGAGCAAAAAGTTTAAAGAGAGAGCACAGGGTGGATTCATGCAGGGTACTAATGGAGTTCAGCAGTGGTCAAGCCTTCAAGGGCTCCCCTTTCCTCATCTACGGCACAATTTGCTTCAGCCATGGAGTATGCAAATATTTTTTCCAAAATATAAGAAACTTTTCCTTCTTTCCTCCCCGTCCCATAGAAAATCCTTGTACATCCTTGTCTGTAATCTGTTGCCTTTTTTTTTTTTTTTAATAGAATCAATGCACAGGGTATTCAGCTAATGCAATCCAGATACTCCCTTTGGACTCCCTTTCCCTAGCATGTTAAAAATGACTCTAATTTTTATATCTGCTTGTCTTGCTTTTCACTTGTTATCTTTTTAGTACCATGTTCCCATTTGCTGTGTTTCTGGCCTCAAGAACATAGAGGCAGTTTTATGACAATTTTACTAGGACTCCAGTCCCAGAATCAGTGCACTCTTGAGCACAGAGCAGAACAACTCTACACCTGCTCCAGATTGGACTGGCTCCTAACAGTCTTTCCACAAGCCAAAGATTACCTCAGCACACTGCAGGGCCCAAAATACAGGACTGCTGGCTCTGTTCCACCGACAGTTTCTGAGCCAGCTAGGAAAGCAGACTTTCCGGGTGCTTGAAGATACTAATATAGTGTAAGAGGTGGGCTGTGGGGCACGATCTTGTTCAAACGACTGTTGAACATACACTTATTTAAGGGATAGGAATGAAGTCTCGTGATACACATTTTCTAGCATTTGCATTGGTCTAACCTTCGACATCTACCTAACTAAAACACTCACAGTGCTATTTCCCCATATTTCTTTTACTGAACCTAGTTATTTCTTGCTGAAAAATGCCAGGGTCAGAAACCATCAGCTGCAAAGCTGTTATATGAAAACCTCATCAAATATTGCTTTGTGAAGAATCTCCAGTACTTAAATCTTAATTGAGGAATAAATCATTACACAGTTTAGCATTCTTCTTGTAAGGTATACCTAATGATGGAGAAAAAAAAATATGGGCCAAGTTTTCAACTCTTTTCTCAGGAATTATATTAAGAGAATGCAAAAGAGTAATAAAGCAAGAAAGGCATGAAACAGTCTGATACTGATGATAAATGCTTGGCTATGACTCACTTCTGTTGTAATGTTAGGAACTGTGCAAAAGTCAGTCCTTCTATCACTGTCTACGTGTAAAGGCTGGGGACAGATGAAGACCCTTTTTCTTCAAGTTTCCTGTTCAGGACTCTATAGCAGTATTACAAGCTAGTAGCAAATTGTTTCCAAAATACATTAATTGAATATTGATAAAATTGGAAATGGATTTGGACATCCTACACTCATAAAACTTCTTGATGCAGATCCCACATGGGAGATGTCTGCACATAACAGAGCATGTGCTTGCTGATTTTGACCTGTTTTTCCACCACTCTTACTTTTTTACCACTCTTACTTACTTATCATTCTTATCAGTACGTTGGTTTTAATGGTGTTATTGCTGTGCTATGTTAGTCTTGATGAAATCAGAATGAAATCCCATATATCCCTCACACTGAATAAGTAAAACCTTTAAAACCAGCTGCAGTCAAATAGGTATCTTCAATTAATGCTAATGAGATCGTTTCATAAAAATCTAGATGTCTTTGTTATGTTAAGACACGGCAATAATTTTTTTATCTCAACAGAAAGCTTTGCACACCAAAGCAGTTAAAATCTGAATGGTAAATTAACTTGCCTTTAGTAACAAAGAGCAAAATTCTGTTACGCTGGAGTGACTGTAAGTTCATATCCTTTAACTGCACTAATGTGGAAGATTAGGTGACTCTAATCCTTCTAGCACTTCTGCAAGAATACAGAACTGTCTGCCTGGTATCTTTGCCACACAGTCTATTGATTATACTGCCATATTGTAGGTAATTACATTCTGATAATACTCATTGTAGAGAAGTGTAGAATGCAAAAATGCTAAGAGGAGAGAGGAGTTAGGACTAATATTAACTAATATTATTTCCCTTGCATGTTTTTTTTTACCATTAAGAATCTCAGTGATACTGACAGCTTTGGAAGAAAAAAAAAAAAAAAAAACAGTAAGATATACTGAAAGTAAAGGAAAAGGTAAAGCGTAGGCCTTGCATGTAGGAATTCCTAAATCATAGTCCTGGTCTACTCACAGTCACCAGGTCACTGAGGTGCCAGATTCCCTAATTAATTTGGATTACCTGGCTTTCAGTGCCCAGCAGATAGTGCCTTGTCCTGATCACCCTCACTGGTGAAAATACGAATGTGAGTGCCCGGCACCCCATCCCCATGGGGTGAAGTCACCTGCCACCACTCGCTCAGGGTCAGGCTGACCGGCCTGAGCCAAAAATCCAGACCTAGCCGAAAGACAACAACGTGATTCTGACAGTGTTCAATTATTAGATTTTTGAAACCAAATGTGGTAGAGCTAAGTAAAAGTACAAGGGAAAGAAAAACCTTTGGCTGCACTTCCTCCTCCCCGTCATCTCCTTTCAGCAGGTCCTGCCCTGACTGCCAGGGCTCGTGTCTCCTTTTGCCAAAAGGTTGCACCATAGAGTGGCAAGGTCCTCCCCCACCTTCCTCCTTTTGGCTTCCAGAGGTACCTGAGCTTTACAGTGCACATAGAAAGGAAGGATGGAGGAAGGATGCCAGCAACAAATTTTCTGCCAACATTTACTCATGTCCGTTGCTTTGCTTTTTGATGACACTTATATAAAAAAATGCCTTATGAAACCACTACCTAAACTGAAAACAAGTATCCTTATAAGGCAGTGCATGGTTTTAATTCATCTTTGATACTAATTTACTGTCATAGGCTGATTCCATGAGTTAGATGAGGCTCAAAAATTTGAATGAGAAAGTGAGAATAGACCACCCTAAATTATGTATCTCTGCAACTCTGACTCCAGAAAATATTTGTTAGAAAAGGGTAACATTTCTGAGAAATAAATACTCTTTTTCATGCTAACTGCAAATCGTAAAATCCTTGCCCACGATCATGAAATAAGTACCAATATCCTCCATAGTATACAACGCAATTAACAGGGTTGACATCTGGTCCTTGAAGTGCACGTAGTATACAGACAGCTATGGAGCATTTTACACCAAAGTAATGTCACTTGATTATGAAATTTATTTATAAATTATTACATTTAAAATAATTTAAAATGAAAATCTCATAGCAGTAAGATGTGCCCTGTCTTAATCAGTTTGGCCATTTTTTACAGCCATCATCTTGGACTCCAAACAGAGGACCCATATTACTGAAATAAGCTGTATAGCTGAAAAATATTTACTGTGCCATTATGTCAACATCATCTTAGCCTGCATCCATGATGATGGCACATTCCTGAAAGAGAAAAAGGAGAGAAATATCAGGAATAATTGCAACCGTATCATTAAAGAATTCCACTCCTACATATTTTAATACCTTTTTTTCTTTCTCTTTCTATAGGTTGTGACCTCATCCCAGTCCAGTATCTCAGATGGGGTGATCCTGAACCAATCGCAGCAGTTGTTTTTGCATGCCTGGGTCTGCTGGCCACCTTGTTTGTTACAGCTATATTCATAATGTACCGTGATACTCCAGTGGTCAAGTCATCCAGCCGAGAACTCTGCTACATCATTCTAGCTGGCATCTGCTTGGGTTATTTGTGCACTTTCTGTCTCATCGCAAAACCTCAACAGATTTACTGTTATCTTCAACGAATCGGCATTGGTCTCTCCCCAGCTATGAGTTACTCTGCTCTAGTAACTAAAACCAACCGCATTGCAAGAATCCTGGCTGGCAGCAAGAAAAAAATTTGTACAAAGAAACCTAGATTCATGAGTGCCTGTGCCCAACTGGTTATTGCATTTATCTTGATATGTATCCAATTAGGCATAATTGTTGCTCTCTTTATAATGGAGCCACCAGATATAATGCATGATTACCCAAGCATCCGAGAGGTCTACCTGATTTGTAACACCACCAACCTAGGTGTTGTCACTCCCCTTGGATATAATGGATTATTAATTTTGAGTTGCACCTTTTATGCATTTAAGACAAGAAACGTCCCAGCTAATTTCAATGAAGCAAAGTATATTGCCTTTACGATGTATACCACCTGCATCATTTGGCTGGCTTTTGTGCCAATATATTTTGGAAGCAACTACAAGATAATCACTATGTGTTTCTCAGTGAGCCTGAGCGCCACGGTGGCCCTTGGCTGTATGTTTGTGCCCAAGGTCTATATCATCCTTGCTAAGCCAGAAAGGAATGTACGGAGCGCATTCACCACATCGACTGTGGTCCGCATGCACGTAGGGGATGGAAAGTCATCTTCGGCTGCAAGCCGTTCAAGCAGCCTGGTGAACCTGTGGAAAAGAAGGGGATCATCTGGTGAAACCCTTAGGTAAAGTTTGCTAATATATGAGCGTGGGGAAGCAAGCGTGATCTTCTGAGGCTTAAATAATAATACTAATAGTGAAAGGACAAAGGGAAATATATTAATTTCCTTCACCTCTGCATTGGGAAATGAGCAAGTCTTCTCTGTAACAGTTTCGGATGAAGGTTGATTTAGTCAAAAGGCTGTGCAAAAACAGAGCATAGAGCAATGAGCAAATAGGGCTGGCTGTGTCAACTGTACACTTGTAGGGAGGGAAATAACATCTTGGGGGGGGTGGGGGGGAAGAGTAAGAAATATAACTAATTGTCTTGCCCTGAATGCACTCGTTTGAAATCTTTCCCTTGAACGAATTGCGTAGTAACTGTGTTTGCTTGTAGTCACAGCAACAGGGTTGCTGCTAATGCTACAAGGTGGAGCAGTCAACACAAGTAGCATTGTGAGCAGCCACTCTTAGCCCTCCAAGGATTTTTCGTGTGACTCTTTTCTCTCTTATTCCCTTGATTTTCCTTTCTTGTATTATTTCTTCCTACCTTCTTTCTTTTTGTCCTTACCTGTCTTCTCTTCTTTACCTTTCTCTGATACCTTTTTCTATATTCATCCTCCCAACTCCATCAAATCTAGCTGTTCTCAGGCCCCATTCTTGACACCCTTCCTAACATTGACCAGATATTCCCTTGCCTACTACTTTGGTTCTTCCCAAGGAAGCGTTTGAGTTTGATGTTCATAAAGATAACATGTATATTCCGGATAAAAATAATACGCTGTGGACACTGAAGAGAAAGGAGACCTCTGGAGTGGAGATATCGTCCAGTTCCAGAGACAGAATGTCCAGCCCCTAGTCCAGTGGCTTATTTGCTTCTTACGATCCCTTTCACTTTTGACACAGGTTGTTATGGGGATGGTTTTCGGTTGTTCAGTTGCTTGTATAAACAAAGAATTCTGCCTATGTGAAAGTACAGAGAAGCATTTTGTCTTTCCTTAGCTACATCTGTCTGGACTGGAAGTGAAAGGTAGCTAGATTTCCTTGCTCACTGAAACACGTGTGGACTTCAGGGGTGATAATATGAATATTCCTGGAAACGTCAATTGTGGTAACTGGAGTTGGCATGGAATAAGGGGGAATTTATACCTCCATTTTTTTATGAACCGTAATTTACATTCAAGAGATGATTTCCTCGGTAATATCTGGAGGATGAGAGTACAGATTATGCCAAAATGATATGTCTTTGTGACATTATTACTAATGCTTCTCTTTCAGAATCTTTAATTGGTATAGACATGACAGTTTGTTACAAATATTTTACAAGTATGATCTGGAAGCGATATTTTTTTCCAGTCAGTTTCTAGATGCAGGGTAGAACGCTGTTTCAAAATGATGAATTCTTTGTTAGTTTTAAGTGGTGGCTACCTGAAATGTCCTCTTTACATCCTCTGCCTGTACACCTGAGCTGACCTGAGATGTTCAGCTTAGAAGCTCTATGTCTATTTCCAAGCTGGCTAAAACAGGCATTCATCACGTGTCCTCAATAGGACAGCATTCTTTCTCTTTGGGATCGTTATTATTTTGCCTCACTTTTGCTGCAGACCTTATCTGCCATCTTGCGACCTTTTTCCTGGAGAAGACGAAGTTAAAGATGATGGGAAGATCTTTGGCTTGGGAATGATTTGTTCGGAGGGACTCATCTTTTTAGGCCCATTTTTGATAGATATTTCCCTAAAATCTTTGTTATAGCTGAAGAATAAGGATTGTACTCTACTATTAAATATCTGAAAAGACAAAGTCTATTTTCTTCTTTGTGAAGACTCTATTTTCATTTCTATATATGCCTCAAAGTGTGGGTAACACCTGCAGTCAAGACATGGATTAGTAAAATACCATAGATTATCATCAACATTGATGTCTTCTTAAATAGCACTGTCTTGGAAATGTGTTCAGCCCCTTAAGAGCAGTTAGAGTGCCAGATGTGTGTGTGAAGGAATGAAGAAGACAGCACAAAGCTGATATATTAGCATATTTACCTAGATATAATGAGCTAAAGCATTTCATTTGAAACTTGGAGAAAAACTTTCGTATTATCAACAGCGTTCATCAGTACTCATAACCAGAACAGAGAAGAGACCCCTAAATGCATGCATCTAAATCCTCAAATGTTTAAACTGTGATGGTGCCAATGAGTTTAGCAGTGCTCAGCCAGTGTATTCTGCCTGAAGGGTCCAAGAATCCAAGAGCAAATTGTTTCCATCAGTCATAGGGAATTCTCTCTAATCAGTGCCTCTTTGATTGCATGGAAGAAAACAAAGCAGAGCCTTAAAATGTACTGAGTACATTTAAAATGCTGCACAGGAGTTCACCTATGTCTGATATCATCTCCCAGAGAGAATAGAAAACCATTTTCAGGTTTAATTCCACCCACTGTAGCTCATGAACAAATAGTGTATAACAATTTTATTTAATATTCAAATATTTCTTAAAAAAAATGTTGGTGCACAAAATAACATATTTCAGGGAATTATTCAGTACTAGGTTCAAAAGCTTGTTTGGATATTTATTCAAGTAAACACTGAAATACTCAGATTCAAAAGAAATGTGCACTAGAGCTACATGACATTATTTAAATAGCACAGAGGGGGTTTATTTAAAAGAGAGTGAGTCATTATTGAATTTTAAAGAAACATGCTATTTAAGTCACCAGTACATAGAGGGGCCCCTATCATTAACATTTTGCTTCTTGACACTAATTTATAGCACTGTGTGGTATTGCATCAAATCATTGTCAGACAGATAATGCCAAGGCTCCATTCAGAGCTTTCACATCAGCTGCAAAATGACAGATAACAAGACTGCTCTTGCCTAAATAAAGCAATGCATCTGTTAGAGTCCTAAAAGACTTTTTGCATGGCGTGTTCCTCAATTAAGAAAAATCAGCACACTATGGCTGTGTGCTGGAATGAATCTTCACATACTGAAATATGTAGAGGGAGGGAGTAAGATTATTCATTACCCAGTGAAATGAAAACCATTTCTTGTAGGCTACTGTGATTCATCAGTACTCACCAAAACGTATTCTAGGCTCCTTTACAAGTAAGGCATCAAATCAGATGTGAATAGAAGGAGCTCCACAAAGAAGCGTGATGAACACTATGTAGCTGCAGTCAAAGCCTCACAACCTGTGCAGAGTGGTTTGTGGACCTTCTGCTTCCTGTAATCTTACCAAGTAATTTCATAGGGACTAGGAAGGCATAAATTAGTTGAGCAAAAACTTATCTCACCTCGAAATGCCAGGAACTGGCAGCATGTATGCTACCAAGTCCCTCTGGAACAATCTGAAATACAGGGTTAATTTATCCTTTCCTCATTCTCCAGTAACTCTGTACCCAGGTAAGATAAGGTCTGTATATTTCTGCTACAAAAGCTGAGGTTATGATATCTCTAGCTAGGACTGCATGCAAAAAGGTCCCGGTTGTGCTACCTTGGCCTCAGGAATAGAACAGATGTTCCCATGTTCCTTTTATATTTCTAATATCTTAGCCCTGAATTTCACTGAGTAATTTATCCAAATGTAGCTGTTATCTATTTTGGGCCATGTCTTTAAATGGGCCAAACGAGATATATTCCGTATTCCATGCTTACGTATACTGACCCACTAAACGTGGACATCTCCCTCCACCTATGGAAAGGCGAGTTCACTTTGCTTTAAGGTAGTCAGTTACCTGTTCTGAGCTCACAGAAAAGTCTTAAAATCACTCTACTTCTCCCACACCTATGTACTAAGCAGTCTTTCAGATCCTAGGAGTATTCTTCTCACTTCCCTTTAACTTGTCCCAGTCTTCACAGTGCAGCCCACGTTCCTCCTGTTTTGTTCTCCCCTAGTCAGTTGTGGATGCCATAGTGGTTCCTGTCCTTAGCTGCTATTTTTGTAGCTTCCCACTCCAGCTTCAGGGATCACTCAGTCACTTCAGCAGGAAATTCTGTACTGTGCTGGCTTGTGACATGTTGTAGTGAAGCCAAGGCAAACCTGAGATCCTTCTATAGACCCAGCTGTGACCTGGACTATTCAGGCCAGAGGGTGAGAACCTCTGGAAGAAGCACGGGGAGAGCAGGTGGGGTCAGAAAGCACCATTATCATCCTAAAGTAAGGCTCTCTGCTTGGAAACCAGAGCCTTAATTCCTGTGTGTCTCCCTTTATTTACTCTTACAGTGACAGTGAGAGGCAGAAGAAAGGAATTAGGGGTTCTACAGTTTGGGTTTTTTTACATGCCAGTTGACATTATTCCCTGTGATGATGTAGGCAAGTTTCCTAGGTTTCTCCTACCACATCCTCAAAAGACAGGAGACGGTCAGCACCCAGTACAAAGCAAAAGTACCTTCCTGAAAAGAAATAAGACAAACTGTCATCTTCCATGGGAATTAGGATCACTGAAGGTGATGATTCATTTAGGCAAAAAGGTTGAGCAGTACTTTCAATCTGATATCTAGGCATGCAGATATGGTCACTCTCCAGGAGAGAATAAGGACCAGCAGCAGGCAGATAAAATTCCAGATATGCTGGGTGTTTGTGGTACCGTGCATATTTCCTCCATTCCTGCATCCAGGTATGAACAGCATAATATTAGACAACAGTGAAAGGATTCAGATCAATTTCTGCATCTTATCCACAGAAGTTTATCCGCAGCAATGTATAGATCTCTGAGATTTAAGTTTAATAGATGGATGCAGCAGTGATGTTTAGTTCCACCTAGACCTACTAGTTCATTACGGGTCTATTATGCAGCATTTCATAAAAGAGTAAACATAAATTGCGGCTGTCAAAGTAAATCGCCTACTCATTTGTTGATGTATGGTCTTGCCCTCCTAACAAGTTTGCCCGCTGCTGTGTGACTGCTGAACTGGGCATCGCTCTACATATCTCTGCAGAGCTGATAAGAACGACAGTGTTCATTCAAAAGCGGGGACTGCTTGCCATAGTGAGCCCACCCTCACCTACCCACGCTCTCCTTCCTCTGAA